TCTTTCTTTCTTTCTTTCTTTCTTTCTTTCTTTCTTTCTTTCTTTCTTTCTTTCCTTCCTTCCTTCGAGACAGGGTTTCTCTGTAGCTTTGGAGCCTGTCCTGAAACTAGCTCTTGTAGACCAGGCTGGCCCCAAACTCACAGACTCACAAGATCTTCCTGCCTCTGCCTCCCGAGGGCTGGAATTAAAGACGTGTGCCACCACTGGCTCCTCTTCAATTTCTGAACTCAGCTTAACCTTTTACACTTCATCCCTGTAGCCCACCTGCCATTTTAGTGCCCCCTTTGGGATTAAATCCCATAGTGTAGGTAGGGGCAGGCTTTCTTGGAGCCAAGAGAAGACTGCTGGCCTTCGAATTGCCCCAGGAAGGTGAAGGTGGCACTTCATTGTCAGCAAGGCTCTGTGACCAGTTCAGACATCATCTCTGAACCGTGTCCCAGGCTGTGTAATGTTTCTCTGTCTGCTTTCTCCTGGATCTCTTTAGCTCAGTCCAGGCTTGAACTTATGATTTGAGTCCTGTGACTATAATGTGTGCACCATCAAACACAGTTTAGAGGTTTTTTTGCCTGGCTCCCTGCTTCTCCCTCAACTCCTAGTGTTGCCCACCTGCCCCGTTCCCCGTTATGTTTTTATTTATTTGGTATGTGAATCTGTGTGGGCCCACATGGGTCATGGTGCCTGTGTGGGGGTCAGGATAATGAGTCGGTTCTGCCCTTCAGTTGGCTACAAGTGGGTCCCAGGTATTAAACTCAGGTCCTCAGGCAGTGGACAGGTGGTGCCTCCATTTCTTTTCTTTCTTTTTTCTTTTTTTAAACAGGGTTTCCCTATGTAGACCAGGCTGGCTTTGAACTCAGAGATCTGCCTGTCCTTGTCTCTCCAGTGCAGGGAGTAAAGGTGTGCACCCCCATACCCGATTCCATTTCATTATTATTAAGGTAGAGTCTTATGGCCAGATGGTGATGGCCTTTAATGCCAGCACTCAGGAGGCAGAGGCAGGAGGATCTCTGTGAGTTCGAGGCCAGCCTGGTATATAAGAGCTAGTTCCAGGACAGGCTCTAAAACTACAACGAAACCCTGTCTCAAAAAACAAAACAACAACAAAAGCCAAAAAAAAAGGAAAAAACAAAACAAAAACAAACAAAAAGGTAGTATCTTTATAAACCAGCTGGCCTGGCCTCAATCTTGCTATAAATTCAAGGATGACCTTGGATTGCTGATCTTCCTTTCTCTATCTCCCTAATGCTAGGATTGCAGGGTGTGTGTGCTGCCAGAGAGACATAAACCCAATGACTCCAGCATCCTAGGCAAGCATTCTACCAACTGAATAAACCCCCAGTTCCATTTTTTTCATTCCTTCATCTCACTATCTCTGTTCTGCATTGTTCAGCTTCTCCGGCTCACTGTATTAAACAAAAACAATTGTTTTTTTGTTGCCTGCACGCTGGTTGCCCTGCCGGGTGGCTGTCTTTCCCCATACTATGAGTGTCTGGTGCACGGTGGCAGTGTTGGGCAAGCTTCATGTCACCACCCAGAGACACAGGAAGGTTTGCCACTCTCAGGTCACACAGAAGCCCTCGGTCACCACACCGTTAAGACCATGGGCTGGGAGCTATGGGCACAGTTGGTAAACGCCTGTTCCCTGGGCATGAAAGCCTGAGTTTGATCCGTGGAACCTGGTCGGGGAAAAAAATAAGTGCAATAACTCACTCTTCAAATATCATTGTTGGTGAGGCGGAGACTGGAGGGTCCCTGAACCAAAGTGGTAGGAAAACCCCAGAACATAATCACAGTCCTTGTCTCAAAAAACTGGATGGGCTGTGGGGTGGGAGTGGCAGACCTTTGATCCCAGCACTCAGGAGGCAGAGGCTGGTGGGTCTCTGAGTTCAAGGTCAGCTTGGTCAACGCAAGTTTCAGAACAGCCAGGACTACGTAGTAAGACCTTGTCTCAAAACAAACAAAAAGCAGAATGGGGGGCTGGAGAGATGGCTCAGTGGCTAAGTACACTGGCTGCTCTTCCAGAGGACCCAGGTTCAGCTCCCAGCACCCACATGGCAGCTCACAGCTGTCTGTAAGTCCAGTTCCATGGAATCTGATTCCCTCACACAGACACATAAAAACAAACAACAAACAGGCTGGATGTCACCTGAGGAATGACATCTGAGTTTGGCCTCCATACGCACGTCCACAGATGTACATATGAACCCTCACATGATATACCCATGTGCGCACACACACACACACACACAGAGTCATCTGAGCCAGGCGTCACCACACATGCCTGTCATCCCAGCTCATGCAGGGTCTGAGGCAGAAAATCCTGACTTCAAGACTGGACTGCAGAGTGAGTTTGAGGGCAGTGGGCACCTTAGTGAGACCCTGTATCAACCCCTCCCCTCAAAAAAATAGAAAAAAGATACTTCCTGGCTGGGCAGTGGTGGCGCATGCCTCTAATCCCAGCACTCAGGAGGCAGAGGTAGGTGAATCTCTGTGAGTTTGAGGCCAACCTGGTCTACAAGAGCTAGTTCTACTACAGGACAGCCTCTAAAGCTACAGAGAAACCCTGTCTCAAAAAACCAAAAAAAAAAAAAGATACTTCCTGGCCCAGACTCATCCACATGATAGCCAAGACTCACCTACTGACCAGTGACCTTTAGTGGACGCCCCCATCTTACTGGCCACTTTCAGCTCTCCCAGCAGGAACAAGCTATTATCCTTCCTGTCTTCCTCAAACTCAGGACCCGGATGCTTCTCTGTGGCCTGCAGAGAAAAGCATGAGGTCAGAGGTCAACAGGAAGGGGCCTCCTGAACACAACTAGTTCCGTATGCCGTGCAGCTTCAGGGAGGGTCTACAGGGATGTGTGCCCTTCAGCCATTGACAGTATGGCAGTGGCTGCCCAGTGTAAGGGCGTTCCAGCCGCGTGGCTGGGGCTGTAGCCCTGCCAGCCAGTGACACATTCCTAAAGAGTAAACATTGGGACCCCTAGCATGAGGGAGGAGGGCTGGAATCTTGCACCCGTGGGCCTGAGGGAAGAAGACTGAGGAAAACCACTGAGTCTGAGGGAGGAGAGCTGGAGTCTGGGGCTCTGGTTTTATGGAGAAGCACACGGCCTTTACACCTAGGCCTGAGGGAGGAGGTTTGGATCTGGGCTGCTCAATTCTGGGATAAGGAGGACCTATCCTTTTCTAACTCTCGTCAGATTTTGGACCCCCCAAGCCAGGAGTGTCCCCTTACCTGCTCACTGTCCATGGTCGTTGTCTTGACTAAGCTGGGAACAAGCTGTGGCCAAAGTTCTCTAGTAGAAGACACGCCCTTGTCGACTTTGCCCTGCATGGTGGAGGGGCGGGAGCTGACTTTGCTCTTTCTGGGGATAGTCATCCTGGTGGGGACTTGGGCAGAGCACAGGGTCTGTCTAGAATGTGCGGGGACTGTGACAGAGCCAGCCTCATGGGCCTCCCCAGCAGGAGGTGGCAGCCGGGTCCAGGATGCTCTTCCTGGCTCTTGCCTTGCTCATATTGACTTCCCACCATCCCAGGTCCAGGCCCCCAAACTTCTCCCTGTCTCCTGGTTTCTGTGTGGGCCCAGAAGATGTGTGTCCTCCAACTTCAAGGTAAAAAGGGGCCCTGGGTCTAGGGGAGGAAGCCTGAGGTCTGTCCGCTGTTCTGGGGGGAGGCCAGGTCTCAGCTCTCTCTGGCTAGTCGTCCGCTCTCAGGTGTTGTAAAGAGATAATGCCGCATCTCTCAGAAGCCTCGTGGAGCCTGCTCCTCTGTGGAGCTGCGGCTGGGGCCATGGAAGCTCTAGTCTCTCAGGCTGGGGACTCCAGGCTGCTGAGCTGCTGTTGTTTCCTCTCAGGCTGCAGACCTCCAGGTTCAGGTGACCAGAGAGCCGCAGAAGAAGCCAGGCCCCAGCCAGCCACTGCTGTTTGGAAAGACATTCACAGACCATATGCTGATGGTGGAGTGGACCAAGAAGACAGGCTGGAGCCGGCCAAGGATCCAGCCCTTCCAGAACCTCACGCTGCACCCGGCATGTTCGGCCCTGCACTACTCACTGCAGGTGGGACCCACTGTGCCTGTCAGCCGCCCTCTGCTGTGCGCCTGCCGGACTTCACCTCTCTGGCGCTTCCATGCTTCGTCCTTTGTGGGTCTGTCATCTTTTCCCGAGATCACCTGTGCTCTGGGACCTAAACTAGGTGACAGTCGCTTCCTGGGACGAGCAGATCTTGGCTTTGTTGGAACTCTGTTCTCTGAAAGAAAGTGGGGTTCCCCTGGCAAAGAAGAGGGGGGACAGCTCATGCAGACAGAGGGGCTTGGTTGGCAGACACTGTGCAGTCTCAATGTGGCCAAGGAGGCCTAGGATGCCCTCAGGGCCACAGCGATGACGACCTTTGGAGGAGTCTGAACAGGGACAGACACGGCCTGGATAGAATGACACTGCCTCGGGCCCTGTGGGAAGTAATGTAGTTCCAGCGCTCAGGAGGTTGAGGAGGAGGACTGCCATGACTTTGAGGCTAGCTAGGGCTATAGAATGAGACCCTAAGCTGTTGTTGAAAGACTAGCAACCTGACTTCCTGGGGCGCTCCTTCCGGAGCCTTGCCCTCTTGCCGGCTGCAGCATGGTTTCTGTCGACAGAGGCCTCCTTAGATGGTCCTCTGATGTTGGACATCTGGCTTCTTTTCACCCCTGAGACATGATAAGGAATGCTGCAATAATCGCCAGATGCCTATATCACTTTCAGTGTGTCTCTGCTATTTCCAGTCCTAGTGAGTCGAAGGACCGCTGAGCCGTTTTGAGCAGCGTTATAACTATTCTCTGTAACTTGTATCAGTTTCCACACCCACTGCCCTCGCTAAGCTGTTAAACTTCTTCCAGTCGCTGAAGAGCTTTTTTATGTTCTCAGTGACACCCCCCCCCCCCCCGTATGTGTGTGAAGTCAGGGATTGACAGACGTGTCTTTCTCAATTGTTCTCCATCCTGGTTTTGAGGCAGAGTCTTTTTTGTTTGTTTGTTTGTTTGTTTGTTTTTTGTATTCCGAACAGGTTTCTCTGTGTAGCTTTGGAGCCTGTCCTGGAACTTTGTTTGTAGACCAGGCTGGCCTCGAACTCCAGAGATCCTCCTGTCTCTGCCTCCCAAGTGCAGGGATTAAAGGTGTGCACCACCACTGCCCAGCCTATTTATTTTTATTTTATGTGTATGAGTTTTTGCATACATAGAGTTGTGTCTGTGTATCACTGTACATGCAGTCCCTGCAGAGGCCAGAAGAGGGCATCCAATCCCTTGGAGCTGGAGTTACTGATTGTGAGTCTCCATGGAGGGTCTGGAAATTGAACCTGGTTCCACTGGAAGAGCTGCCGAGCTCTTAACCACTGGGGCATTGTTCCAGCTCCCTAAGATAGGCTTTAAAAACTATGCAGGAGAACTTTGTATATTAAATGAGCTTTTGTTTCCTTGCATGGGGTGATTTTGAGACCTCACCCTGTGGTCCAGGCTCCCCCAAGCTGGCCTTCACTGAGGGTGGTGGTGCTCCTCCTGCGGTGCTCCTCCTGCGTAGTTGAGTTAAAAGACTTGACCTCCACGGCTGCCTTGCCTGTGCTTTCTGGAGTCTCCATGCCTGTGTCTCCATCTCCATTTGTTTCTATGTGTCTCTTGCTATCTGAATGCTTTGGGACCCAGACCTGAGCACCCCTACCCTGCCTGTCCCCACAGCTCTTTGAGGGCCTGAAAGCATACAAAGGCAGAGACCAGCAGGTACGCCTCTTCCGGCCGTGGCTCAACATGGACAGGATGCTACGTTCTGCAAGACGCCTCTGCTTGCCAGTGAGTGGCCAGTCTGCCCTAGAAGGAGAGAGGGTAGAGGGTGGCTGAGCGAATCTGGAGCCCTGACTCCTATGGGATCCACCCAGGACTTTGACAAGCAGGAGCTGTTGGAGTGCATCCGCCGGCTCATTGAAGTGGACAAAGACTGGGTTCCCGACGGCAATGGAAGCAGCCTCTACGTGCGGCCTGTGCTGATCGGGAATGAGGTGGGCATAGCCGCGGGAGCTGCTGGTGTGGGGTCGTGCACATCCGCATCGGCATCAGGGGACCCCAGGCTCTGAAGGAAGGGGCTGGTGCTGGTGTGGGGCCACGCACATCGGCATCGGCATCAGGGGACCCCAGGCTCTGAGGGAAGGGGCTGGGCCTAGGGCTCTGAGTCTAAGGAAGGAGGAGGCTGGAGTGCGGATCCCTTGGTCTGATGCTGTCCCTTTGCCCATTATAGCCCTCATTGGGTGTCGGCCTGGTCACACAAGCCCTCCTGTTTGTCATTCTTTGCCCGGTGGGCTCCTACTTCCCTGGAGACTCCATGACCCCTGTCTCCCTCCTGGCTGACCCCACGTTCATCAGAGCCTGGATGGGTGGGGTCGGCGACTACAAGGTGGGGGGGTAAGTAGTTCCCCACATCCGTAATTAGCTGTGCCATGGCGGGAGGAGGTGCTGTGGAAGGGTGAACCGTACTCCGCAGGCAGCCGTCCTACTCCACATGCTTCTTGTTTGGGGCTGGGCCTGGTTCTGGCTTGGAGAGCCATTGTCACTGGCTCTGTGGTTGGGCCCTGGGCTTTGTGTCCTGAGTCTGACATTAGCAGTGAAAGGAGCATGGGGTGCATTCACACGGACAAATGAGCTCAGAGATGGGAGGGTCAGCCAGAAGATCGAGCCCCTGGAAACCTCTAGAAAGCAAGATTCCCTTAGCTCTTTCTTCTGGTACCTGTGCTGGGTGGAATCTCCATTTATAGCTCCCCACATTCCTCAGGCCTCAGTCCCCATGCGTCATGACCCTCTGGACCCAGCATGCTGTGTTGCCGAAAGCCAGCAAAGGTGGCTGAGTCTCCTGAGGTCAGGTCAGGTGCTGGCTACTGGCATATTGGAACGAGGAAGTGTGTCCACACAGGCAGGGTACTCAGGTCCTCTCAGAACCTCATGAGGTCTTCCTGGTATCAGGCCCTGTGTTGGCTGCCTCTGGTGACACAGATAAGGCCAAGCCAGTCCCACCCCCTGAGGGCTGCTGGGAACTCTAGTGTCCAGATCTACAGGAACTCTACCTGTGGAAGCTCCATGTAAGAGGTGACACTTCATTTGTGGTTTCTTGGCTACAGAGGTAGTAAGAGAAGCCAGGCATGGTGGTGTACGGCCATGTATGCTATGTCATGGCACCTTAATCAGCTGAGGCAGGAGGACTATAAAAGGAAGCTAGCGGACAAGGATTGGGAGCAGAGCCCCTGCCTCGAATTCCCCAGAGAGGGGTTGGAGATAGAGTTCAGCAATAGAGTATTTGCCTAGCATGTGGGCAGTCCTGAGTTCAAACCCCAGTACCAATCATTTTCTAACTCTGGGCCTCATAAATGGGCTGGCACAAGGGAGACAGACAAGACCAGTTTTTGCACAAGGCTCAGAACATGGCTTGGGCTCCTGCCCTGAGACAGTGGGAGCCTTGGGCGACGTTTGAGTGAGTAAGAGGTGAAGCCTGGTGTGGGTGACACACTGCAGGTTAAAACAGGGTGAAAACCAGTGTGGGGTTGCACAGCTGTGACCCCAGCACTTGGGAGGCGGGGACGAGACGCTCAGGAATTTAAGACTAGCTTCAGCTCATTGTGATTTGGAGGCCAACTTCTGCTACCAGAGACCCTGGCCCCAAACCAGTTGAGTGTGGTGACAGCCTGGTCTACAGAGTGAGTTCCAGGACCAAGGCTATACAGAGAAACCCTGCATCAAAATACACAAAACCAAAAAAGGAGAGTAAAGTGAGCCAAACCACTGGCACCGCCATGCCTGTAGTTTCAGTACTTAGCGGTGGAGAGAGGAGGGGCTGGAGAGGCAGGAAAGGGGGTATACCAGCCACACAGGGCCCTAACCTTGACCCCAACTGCTAGGTTAAGAATTCTGTCTTGTAGGTGTGGAAGCCCTCCCAGGAGGGCTGTGGGGTGGGGAAGGAGACTCCTCCTTGGCTGTGTTTGGGGAGTATGGAGGGTCTTTGCCCAGTCTGACCAGACTGCCCTCCAGGAATTATGGGCCCACTGTGGCCCTGCAGCAAGAAGCCCAGAAGAAGGGCTGCGAGCAAGTCCTCTGGCTGTACGGGCCGGACCACCAGCTCACCGAGGTGGGCACCATGAACATCTTCGTCTACTGGACTCACGAGGACGGGGGTGAGCCTACCAATGACCCAATCCACACCCTGTATGATGTCCTGCCCAATTCCTACTGGGTTGCAGGGTCGCTGGGTCCTGGGCAGGTTGCTTCTAAGAGAAAGGGGAGGTCATTTAAGGGTGGGGGGCAGT